ATTAATGTATACTTATGTATACATAATACTAATAATAATACTACTAATAATATAAAGATATAGCGACTATTGAAAAAAACCTTAATAGATCAAAGAATAATAGATGATAAGTTATGAGACCACACCATGTAGTGTTGTTGTTGGCGCCGACATATTTGATGATCATAACATGCAGAATTGCTTAAGGAGCCAACAGCAGGCTAAAATTCAAGAGCTACGTAGACGTAATGATCGTTAAAAAGCAATAAGTTTAGTAATAAATTATATGTGTGCACTAATAAAACACTATATGTGTATCATGCAGTGACATTTTGTGCCTCAAAATGGTGTCAATTACGCCGTTTTATACACATATTACTTTCAATACCAATAATCGTTTCCTGACGGCGAATGATAATACAAAAAAGGTATCGTTTTGTTACGGCTAGAAAATGGTAGCAGTAAATTGGTACTATAGTTTTTCGGCTACGAACCCCTTTAATATAAGAAAAGCATATCTTAGTAGAAACATTTGTGTAGGAGACGGGATCAAAGGTCAGCATTTTGTAGCATGATGCCATGTTGAGAGAGAAATTATATGTAATATCACACAGTTGGTATATGCTACTTATAACACAATTCAATTAGCTTTAGCCTACTGTACTATATTTGGTTAACTTTAGCATGCACGGAGGGGGTAGGGGTAAAGATTTAAAAAAAAACTTGACCTAATTATAAGTATATCTGTTACGCTTACTATACGGCATTATGCAAAAGAGATATCTTATTGTAATGCAAATGATTAACAAATTCTAGACGATTGTGAAACAACACCTTTTCACTGTAGTGTCCTAAGCGTTGAGAAATTACAGTAGCATACAACGAATCTATAATAGAACAAAGTGAACGGTTCGATATATAGTAGGCCTAACGTTGTAACTTCAGTATTATGAATCCATATCCAATATATAGTACAATAAATAATCGACAATATTCCTTATAATTATCGTTCCTATTACAAAATGAAGTAACATAAATGAAAAATATAGTAGATAAATTTTGATTTGTTTAAACTATATTCATATACCGACGTGAACATTCATCATTTTTAAGTTTATAAACCTCAGTGAGGTTATTATATGTTTATCAATTAATAAAAATGATACCAAGGAGTTTTAAAATGTCATCAAAGAAAATAATGTCCACAATATAATATATTGAAAGTGTATCCTTAATCATAATATTAGTGAGCTATAGAGTTCATAAAATCAAATGGATGTTTTTAATTTACTGAATTATGATACGATTAACTGCTTTTTTATTTTGCGTTGATAACATTTATATGAAATACTTAATACACGTTCGTCTGGATACCATTTGTCATGTGTTGAAATTTTTTTTCAGGACATACGACAGATACACTTAATAGCCAACAGATGGACTGATAATGTTTAAATAACATAGAGCGAGCGTTACTCCGAACGAAGAGTAACGTTCGTTGTATGTTAAAATTAACAGTTATCCATTATAATAGGACCAGAATAATGTGTGAAAAAATGGTGAAATGAATAGTGAAAACAAATGGTGATGATTGGTAGGTCTAATTTAGATCCAAAGACAGAAAACCATGAAAAGAACATATAATTATGGATTTGTTACAAAAAGATAATAAAACATATGGAAAAAAGAAAAAAAAAAAAAATTTAAATAATCCATATAATTGCATACAAAATATAAAGTGCTTGCTTACAACTTCAATTAAAAAGAATACTGTGAAACATGGATACTTAAAAAAGATTATTACTCCAACTTCAAAATTTTGAATATATCACCATCAGTAGTTAATCTAAGCAATTGTGATCTAACTTGGATATAAATAATCCTCCATCTTCCAAGAGGGGTCCTTAGCTTTGTCGTCACTGCTTCTAATGGATTTTAAATGATTTTTTAAATGTTTTCTTTACTAATTGGTGTATTTTTAGTTCCCTGCATATGCTTGGCCCTCCAATCTGTGACCTGAGATGTATGTTCCATTCAAGTATATGTATTGAATAAAGAAAGAAACAAAGAAAAATTAATGAAACTCTAATGTTTCTTTTTCTCTTTGTCAAAAATATAATTTTGCATAGACCTATAATAGAGTAAACAGATTGCACAATATATCATATATGTTTGAAACTTTGCTTAGAGAAGAATTTCCAAACGTCTATATTTGGATTGTCAAACAAATCAAGCTCTATTTATAAAATTCTGTAAAGTTTGCTGTTTTTAATTAGAGATAAATTTCCACACAATTGTATCTGGTATATAAAACAAAGCTCAAATAACAAAACAGTGAAATTTCCACACACCTATTTTTGAATCACTGTTTATCAAAAAAGGTTTAATTCAGTCCAGAATATTACTGATGGGATTTTATAGATGCTATTTATATTATTTATGACTGAATCAATCTCGAACCTATCTATAACAGTTAGATTAAACTGCAAATGGCAACAGTACTTGTGATTTGGAATTTCCAGAGATCCAAAATGGAATTTCCAACTGCAAGCACGTGCACTACAGGTTTCTTGCATCATAAACATTATAAGCCTCGTAGAAAACCCACATAATATTGCAATATAAAAGGTTATTTAATAATAATAATAATAATAATAATAATAATAATAATAATAATAATAATAATAATAATAATAATAATAATAATATACCGCATATTATTGAGATCTGTATGCGCTTCACCTTTTCATTACCCCGGTCATTGGAATAAACGCCTACGGGACATAAACTCAAGCTCAATGGGGAGTATTCCATATTGTTGAGGTAGTTAATCAGCGCATTTTGGCCTTTAACCCATCAGGTACCCACTTATACACCTGGGTGGAAAGAAACAATGCAGATAAAGTGCCTTGGGCCCAAGGACACAAGTGAAATGCACAGCGAGGGTTTGAAACCCCAACCTCAAAGTTGGGAACCCAAACAGTTCCCGCTGCGTCAAACACATTAAAATAGCAACAACAATATGATTGACTAACTTCATAAATAAATTTAAAAAAAAAGAATACACAAAAATATATGTTCACTCTACTATGTATGAGATTAGCACTATCAATTAAAAAATAAACATGCAAATTAACATAATAGGCCTACACAATTTTCCATACATGATAACCTGTTTTAAAAAAAGCATCGAAATACACGCGATCGTGTCGGGATTCAATATTTCGACATTAATCATGCCATCATCAGGGGGAAAAAAATTGAGAAAATTAAATAATTAAATTTATTTATGATCCTCAATCCTTTTTTTTTAAATTCCTGATGATGGCATAATATGTATACAGCACGGTTTGATATCTTAATTATACAGGATGTTCTTAAAAAATGTGTAATCAATACACTTTGCAGTTGGTTAAACACTTCTACTCCTTAATAAGTCACTAATCTATGTTATGCTTTCTATTTACGTATTTACACAGAATCTGAATGAATTTATAATATATTATGCTTTCTCATTAAGTCCAAAAATGAAATGTAAGTATAGGACTTCATTATTAAAATACATAAAATTTGTATCATTCAACATAAGACCATTGACAGATATGGTGTGGGCAACGATTGAGAAAACACAATGAAAAGAGATAAGAAGCAGGGAAGTAATGGTTAACAAATAGAGGGAACAATGTACATAATTTCGTTTAAGACTCACGAGGTCAGTTGACGGTGAAAGCTCAAAACTAGCAGTAAGTTGTAAATAGTATAGTGTTATAATTGTTAATATTGATATTAAATTGATTGTTTCCTTATTTTATTAAAGCAGGATAATTCTGTACATATGTATGAACCATGTTGAAAGATAGAGAAGGATAAAACATATTTGTGTTCAGTATAAAGTTTTTTGCATAATATTTGTGTTTGGCTTCTACAAGTATAACGAGTGCACGTATTAATAGCTGCGGCCTATTATGCAGAAACATGATTAAACAATTATACGTATATAAATAAACATGAATAAAAATAATAAAGTTAGTTGGAGTAACTACAAGCAATAATTTAAAGTGGGCTGGACACACAAGATAACAAATTAACAGAGCAAATAAGAAACTCTATTATGCTAAAGTTTGACCTACCATTAAACATGTTGACAAATATATAGGATGTAGTGGATCTCTTATTGAATATGCTGTTCTAGCATAGAATCAAAAACATAGATTTAACAAATAAACATGTAGCTCTGTTAGAGAGCATTTATATACAATAGAGAGCACTCATATTAATACCTGGCAACTCTTTAAATAATTATAGTAGTGCTCCATTATTTAGTACCTTAACAATTCTGGAGTGCAAAAGAAAACAAAATTTCAGTTCCTGGATACCTGCTCAAATAGACAACGAATAATG